GCACACACGCACACACACACACACATGAACACACACACACACTTACTTTTATTAAACACTAAATGGCCGTTATTCTGTTGCTGTGCTTCTCTTCACTCAAACTCTAAAGACAGTGATGCAGCACATTTTGAATTTTTGTGCACAAATCAGAGACATGCATTTGAATAGTGTAATTTTTTTTTTAGGTGCCCCAAATCAGCCCATTGTCAAGCATTACTGCCTCAGAATACAAAGTTCAATCTGTTATTTTTGGCCATTTTGAATTACTAAGACCATGATGTCAGAAATCAAATGCACTAACTGCTACATCAAAATTGTAAGATTATTCTCAGTGGTTATCAAGATATTCAAAGAACTGTATTTTTAAAAAAAGCTTGAAATATTGTGAAACTCAAATTTTTTAAAATGTCATATCTCAAAACTAGGTACTGAGCAGATACAGCTTTGTAATTCTGAGGTAGTGAATTGTCTGAGGACAATAGCACATGCTCTGATTGGGTTACTAATAATAAGTAGGTTCGTCCAAGCATAGCCATGCTGCTCTGTGGGGCAAAAACTTAATCATCGCATGCTGGTAATTCATGACAATAAGTTTATTTTGTGCTCTAACGAATACTTACACCTCTTAGATTGTAAATTGCACGAGGGTGGTGGCTGCTCTGGTGTGGTTTGCTCCTTCTTTCCTATCAAACATATTATGGCCCTTTTCTCTCTCCTCTTTCTTTTTTTTTTTGTGTTTGTCGCTCTCTTGTAATGCCTCTAATCTTCGGCACTTATATGACCTTATTTTGTTGCAAGTGCCATTAAATTCTCACTAAGATTTGAAATTTTTCGTTCTTTCCTGGGGCAGAATTACCTTTTACCTTTGAGCTTTAAATGATTTTTTATTTGGTGTTCTTTTTCATCTGTGCAGTTTCAGAACCAGCAAAGGAATTGGCTACTCTGCTCATTTTGTGGGCGGTTCTCTCATCATCACTTCTATGAAGGTCAAAGGGAAAGGCTTTCAGCACTGTGTCAAGTATGAGTTCCAGCCCAGACAGGTGAGGATGGGGATAGCACACAATGAGAGAGAGAGAGAGAGAGAGAGAGAGAGA